CTGTGGCTCTCCTGGAACTTACTCTGTAGATCAGGCTGGCCTCAGACTCACAGAGATCCACCTCCACCTTCTGAGTGCTGGAGTGAAAGGAACAGGTCTCTTGTCCTGGCCTGTGAACTCCCAGGGGCTGGCAGTGGATAATAGCACCAGGAAGAGCAGACTTTAGCCCTGAGCCAACAGTGACTTATCTCTTTCTTTCCAGAAAAGGAGATCAAGTGTTTTATATCTGAACCCCTGAATTGAAATTTCTTTTGTAACTTGGTGTTTTGTTTGTTTTGAGATGAAAAATAATCCCTTCTAAAAATACCTTCAAAGTAACTTTCCACTGAGGGGAAGTCAGAGAGATGATAGATTCTACACATAGATTCACCTAAGTACTTGTGCCTTCTTTTCTCAAAAGAATGGTAGTTGCTAATATTTTAATAAAAGAGAGCAAGAGAGTTCACTCGGATAAAGAAGGGTGGGCTTCAGGAGAGGCCAGGTGCAGTGGCACATGTCTATAATCCCAGCACTGGAGAGGCTGGGGCAGGAGCACGAGGGTTTGAGGCTAACCTGAGCTATGTAACAAGAACTTGTTTCAAGAGTGAAGAGAAGAGGGGAGATTGTGGGGAAAACACATACAAGAAAGGGCAAGGGGCAAAGGTGTTCATTTTAAGAATTTGGATAAGTTGCTGCCTATGGCCATAACTTCATTAGAAATACTCCAGTTCTCTTAAAGCTAGTTTTAGTTTTCTGCTGGTTGCACACCAGTGCCATGACTATAGTTGAGTTTGGGAAAACCCAGACTTTACCTCAGGGCTCCTGTGTCAGCCTGTTGTCACCAGTGGCAAATCTGCTTGACAATGCAGACATGCCAGGGGAATTAAAGCATGCAGGTAGCAAATAACTGTGTAGTCTAAGACTTGAAAATAATTTATCTTGATAATTATGTAACTGTTCCTAATTGTCTCTGCATAGTACTTGCTGGCTGATATTTTAAGGAATTGAAGATAAAATTATTGTTCTTGTGTACTCATTAACAGCTGAGAACAAGGTAGAATACAATGGAAACCCACAGCCATGAAGTTTGGGCATATTGATGAGCCTACTCAAGGCTTCTCTTCCCATTTCCACATCTAGATGTCTACCTGCCTACTTGGAGATCACTTCCCAGGTCCCTCACTAATCTCATTTTTACCCTCCAAACCTGTTCTTTCTACAGTCCTTCTACCTGGTCTCCAAGATGAAACTCCAGCCTTGTTGTCATTTCTTCCCCTCACTCCACCCCACGCCACACTGCCCATCTTGTTCCTTTCCAGATATATTGGCTTGGCCTGAAGAACTGATTTAAAGTGATTTCCTTCTCTTTGTTTTTATTACTACTGCCTTCCAGCAGCCCACCACATGTCCCCCTGAGCTGTCATGCCAGGCCTCCTGCCTGCAGCCCTCTCTCTATCATTCCATTCTTTCAACATTCATCTCTCTAGTCTCAGTTCTGACCACATTTCCAGGCTTTAAACCCACAGTGACTCTCCAGTGTCCACAGCCCTCCATAGCCACTCTTGATCTTTTCACAGAGTGAGAGATCCCGTTTGAAAACTCTCAACCACTTCTCAAACAGTCTGTTTTTAAGCCACTTAGACTTTATTCACTCTCGGATACACATGTGATGTGATCACACTGTTCCCCATGACTCTGCTGCTTCTGTCCTCCATGCTCCTTCTTTAGCCTTCACATTCATTGTTGCAAGTTGCATTTGAGAAGTCTTTTCTGACCAGACTGACAAGCCCTTCCTTTCATGGCAGCTTGTACATAATGTGTTGTAGACATTAGATCTTTTTTCCCTGCCAGACAGAATTCTGTGGGAATATCATCTATCTAGATTGTCTAGGGCATCTTCCAGCACATGGTAGATATCTGGAATAAATCGGTGAAAGCCGCTGGCTTACCACTTGTCAGGAGTATGTTAATGATGCTGTGTGTTGTCATTAGTTCTATGGCTGTTGGTAGGTTTTGAGTCACATGAGGTCAGTGACATTGTCTTATTTGTGTTTGTATTGTCAGTGCTTCATGGTCATGGATGTGTTTGTAGGAAGCTGTTTTCAGGAAATTTGTGGGTGGTATTTGGCTATGAGTGATATGGGCATTGAAATGTTTTCTTAATACACATAGCCATTCTTTCCTCATGGCTACTTTTTGGTCCACTTAAGCATCTTAATGCTTAGGGTACAAGCCTCGGTTGAATACAGGTTTCTCCCTGGTACTCATTCTTGATGAGCAGAAGGGATATTGCATTTATGATACCACTGCCTTTTCCTACCTGCTAGGGTCCTTTATGTCCCTTGTATACACTGGAGTTCTTGGAGGCACTTTGCTTACAGTATCTCACTTAACTTCTACAGAATGAGGGTGAATTAGAGAAACAGGTTTATGTTTATTAACAGACTTTACAAGTATCACAGCTACATCATTCATTTAGAAATCAGCATGCATCCATCAAAAGTTAACTTTCAGTGTTGTTTTATTTAATTTTATGTTGCTGAGGATTGAACATGGGCAAGTACTTTATCACTGACCTACATCTCCAGTCCTCATACCCACCCCATTCAGGACCTGTGCTTTGCACATTCAATATTGTCAGGCCACCCGATTCCTTTTAACTGCTTCAACTCTCCTTTTTAAAGATGAGCACTGTGTTCCGAGGGTGTTACTAGTGATAGTAAGACCTCACTTTAAATGAACACATATATTGCTTTCTGTCTGAGTCTGTGTCATTATAGAATTCAAGATCGTAATTGAACATTTGGTTCTGGATCAGTTTCTAAACATTAGCTTCATGGAAAAATCATTTTATAGTCAATTTTACAAATATAATTTTTAATGGTTCATTTATAAAAATTTCATATTACCTCATTTTCTTACTTAATAAAAATTTTCTGGATATTTCCAGCTGTCTGCAAGTCTTTGAACTTGTTTAACTTATTTGGAGTACACAGAAGCTGAATGTGTTTTATGAGAAGTGAAACATGTTTCTTCTGTGGTCTCCAGTCTCAGCAACAGCCTTCCATTGTTCAGTGCTATGCCCTGAGGAAATGGAGTGATTTATAAATGGGTTCTTTTTGTTGTAGTTGGTATTGTAGGGCATGTTTGCTGGACCCAGGACTGATTTATTCTCAAGTGAACAATTTTTCCATTCCTAGAGATAAAAGGTGGAAAGACCTACCAAGGGTCTTCCATTTTGTAAACCTTGTGAAAGGATATGCTTTGTCCAACCTCTTCTTTGTCTCATTGAAATGACTCAAATGGAGGGGTTCCATGTGCTGCTTTGATCTATTTTCTTCAGCTCCTTGCTGTAGGAGCTGGAGTCTTCCAGCCCTTCTAATATCTGTTCTTAGTAAGGGAAGGGCTATTTCAGCAGTGGTGGGAAAGTGTGAGGACTTATGCCACATTGGTGAGTCTGATACAACAAAGTTATTGTGATATTAAAAAAAAACTGTATGCTTAGAGATGCACTGTGTGAGACGGACAGGACCATTATCCCTCAAGACTTTGAATGTAGCATTTATCAGGTCTTTGAATGTAGCATTTATAAGGTCCTCATTTAAGTAGGTTGATAGTTATATTTACATTATTCACATAGGGTATATAATTGTGCTGTGGTGGCTGAAGACTACTGGGTACTGCATATCAAGAGACAGTTTAGGTGAGTGAAGAAAACAGAGAGAATGAAGGATTTAAAACTCTGCCTTCCAAATGCTCTGCTCCTTTCTGCGTTCTCAGCTATGCTTACAGAAGTGCAACCTTCACAGTGGCCTGTCCTAGGGTCCTTCCATGTCACTGCCCTTGTTCCCTGTTCTGACTGCACTGTACTCTTCTGTCACAGCTCCTGATAGTTGTCTGAAAGCTTTTCATTTCTGGCCACCTGTCCTTCCTCAACTCCAACACCGAGCGTGCGTGCGTGCGTGCGTGCGTGCGTGCGTGCGTGCGTGTGTGTGTGTGTGTGTTTCTCAGTTTATTTACTTTAATCCACCATCTTATTTAATTCTAATTTAATAGAAATATTGGTTGCCCACTGTAGCACTCAAGTGGCCAAGTGTTGAATATCTGTTCCTGTTTTGGATGTCAGGCTGGATGATAGCATACACAGCTTTCAGCTAGCTAAGTGCATGTCCTCTGTCAGTGACCTGGTTGGGCTGAACCAGTGTCAGTTTCTCTTGCACATGGTCGCCAACAGAAGTTCCATTCACAGTGATCTTTTCACTGGTGATAAAGAGGCTTTTGAAGGAGATGTGCTTTTAAAACTCTGTAATCTCGAGTAATACTATGCTCAAGGGCTGATAGCAAGGGGATGTTCATAGGTTTCAGACTTCCCTTGTTTGTAGGGTTTTTTTCATTCATGTCATGTGACAGATTATAAAAATCTTCAGAGGCATCACTCTCTTCACAGTTGGGTTGCTTATAATTTTATTCTCCACTGCTGAAGTAATGTTCTGTGTGGGGCACACAGATGTGAAATCTAGAATAAAAGAATACATTTGGGGTGGGAAGATGGCTCTGTTGATAAAGCATTTGCTGTGCACTCATGAGGACCAGAGTTCAGATCCCCAGCACATATGTTAACACAAGGCACATATGGCAGCCTGCCATGATTTTCAGTGCTTGGGAGGCAGCCCCATGGCAAGCTGGATAGCAAGATTAGCCAATTGACAAGTTTTGGGTTCAAGTGAGAGACCGTGTCTCAGTGTATGAAGTGGAGCGTGATACAGGATGACACTCAACATACTGTCTGTGTGACTTACTCACCGTGGGAACACACATATGTACATACATACCATATACATACACACATGCCAAATAAAACAATAACCATTAAAAAAGAACACAGCATATTCTTCTTTGTGGTTAGATAGGCTGTGCCTCTACAGTGACCATCTGGTTTAACAGTTGGGGCCTTGAAATTGGGCCAGGGTGCCCAATTTGGAGCATTTCCTGAAGACATTTTGCTATCAGCACTTGTGGCACAGCATTCTTCTCGTTAGAAGCCACTGACACCAACCAGAAATCAACCTCAAATCTATCTTTGTGGTGCATTCTGTGTCTAGGATATCCTATGCATCTATCCACATCCTAAAAAGAATACCAGAAGTGCACAGACAAAACCACTGTCAGTTAGAGAAACTCAGTGTTAGCAACTACCTCAGGCTTGGAAGACATAATGTTTAAAGGGTAGACTTCTGATAGATTTCCCAAAAAGCAACATAAATTCTCATTTTTCACATCTTTACTAAAAGTCAGACCAACTTACCAGGAACTAATCAGTTGGCCAGTTGTTTTTGTTTGTCATGCAATTGATTGGGTCCCCCCCCCCCCCGCCACACACACACACCATATTATTTTAGGAAAGTTGCAAAAATATATTAAAGAGATATCATCTTCTCTTCAAAGTAGCCTCCTTTCCCAGTACTGCTTGCCTATCACCCACCAAGAGATTAAAAGAAAAAGATGCCAGGGTAGAGAAGTGGAAACTTCCTGACTATAGCCCAGCATGCTGGGGGGGGGATCTCCAGCCTGGGAGTGCAGGGCAGCCAACAGTCTATAGGCTCAGTGCCACTATCCATGAGGGGGCTTCTGGGAAGCCAGAAGTGCAGTAGGATTGGGCAGGATGTAGCGGATGGTCAAGTCTTGCCACAGGGACAGAAAATACAAAAGAAATGAACAGTACAGAGAGGCAAAGAGATGTTCCCAAACGAGGGGTGTAGAGGAGTGAAGGCAGTCTCAGGGTGGGGAGACTGGAGCCCTGCAGTGGGGCCTCTGTGTGGTGTGGGGTACCAGAGGGTACAGGCAGCAGAGCCTTGTAACAGTGAGGAAGGGCTCCTGGCACCAGGGACAGCTAGGTGAGGGCGATCTGTCAAGGCCACAGGTAGAAATCTGAGGACAGAGGGCAAGAGAGGAAAGTCTCCAAGTTGGAAAGGCCAGACCTCAAGGAACAGCTCAGAAAGGAAAAATGCCCAGTCCTACAAGTTCGGAAGACAAGAAGGGAGACAAGCAGAGTGTCATTTGGCGCTGATGTACCTACACTCGGAGAAGGCTGGAGGGAGGTGGGCAGCCTGTGATACTGGGCTTCACCGCATTCTGCATGTGAGCTAGAAGGTCCTGTGGCCATCAGTTGCAGCTCAGGGTGTCTGAATAGCCTGTCAGGCTCCAAGGCCTTTGCTGGAGCTGGCCCTTCAGTCTGCCAGAGTCGGCTGAAGATTCACTTCTGGTGTTGACATCTCTGCCTGGGAATCTGGCTGCTTGTGTAGCTGATGGGGAGAGGAAAGTGCTAGGTGCCTAAGCATTTAGGGAAAGTTCTGGTAGTAGTTGCTGAGCTTATGTCCTTGTTTAGACAACCTGCTGTCTGGGGACTGCCCTTGCCTGGCCCCTGTCCATGCTTCATCTTCTTTTTGGGGGGGTTGAGAGAGGGTTTCTCTGTGTAACAGCTCTAGCTGTTCTGAAACTCACTCTGTAGAGCAAGCTGGTCTTGAACTCATAGAGATCTGCTTGCCTCTGCCTCCTGAGTGCTGGGTTAAAGGTATGTGTCAACACCACCCGGCTTGTCCCTGCTTCTTTAGAACCTCAGCTGAAAGACAAAGCTGCTGTGGTATTGGCATTGTTCCAAGTCAAACCCTTATCTATTACTGGGATGACCTGTATTTGAAAACTCTTCAGGGCTTATTTCTTTTTCTTTTTCTTTTTCTTTTTTTTTTTTTTTTTTTTGGTTTTTCGAGATAGGGTTTCGCTGTGGCTTTGGAGGTCATCCTGGAAGTAGCTCTTGTAGACCAGGCTGATCTCGAACTCACATAGATCCGCCTGCCTCTGCCTCCCGAGTGCTGGGATTAAAGGTGTGCGCCACCACCGCCCAGCCAGGGCTTGTTTCTTGTTGTTATGCCTGCCTTGGTCTCAGAGACAGTCAAACATGGATGTTTTGTGGAGGCTTTTGCCTGCTGCTGCTGCTGCTGCTGCTGCTGCTGCTGCTGCTCTAGGTCTTGGGAATGCAGGGCTGATGATACCATGGGCATATGGATGATGTACTTTTTTCTCTATTCAGTGACCTGGCATTGCTTGGTGTGAACAGCCCAACCCTCCTGCTCTCTGAATGAAGGAGTGATATCCTTGGCATTCTTTATACCATCTTATTCTTATTACACAGTGGTAGAAACTTTGTGTATGTTGGTGTCTGGCTGCCTGTGAGGAGTATGCTGGTTCAAAGTCATGGTTCAGGTTGTTGCTGATTATTTGGGAGGTGGCACTAAAGGCGAGGTTCCTGGGAAGGAGCTGTGTTTACAGGGTGCGGACAGTGGCAGCTTTGCACAGGTGCCAGGAGCACGCCGCCTTGTGCTGGAGGATGGTGATGATACTGCCTACCAGAGTTCCACCTGGCTCACTCCTGGTACCCTTGCTGAGATCTGTAACACTTGTCTGGAACCCTAGAACCCAAAACCGGCATGGTGTTGTTAAACCTGTTATATAGTCAAGGATGACCTTGAACACACACAGAACAAGAAAAACTCTATTTAAATTTAATTCCTTATATAAAAAAAAACCTAACTAAGCAAACCCTGAGTTCTTTAATAGTTCCCCCAACTCTTAAGGGTGGGGATTGAATTTAGAGACTTACGTACACTAGACAAGTATCTCATCACTGTGAGCTACATTTTCCCCCTCACCCTCACTTTTTTTTTTTTTTTTTTTTTTTTTTAGAAGCCAGGGTCTCTGTGTAATACAGGCTGACTCTGAACTCATGATCCTTCTGCTTATGTCTTGAGTGCTGGGATAATCCTTGAGTAGTTTTTAAACACATTTTCCCATTCATTTTACATTCAATCAAGTTCTGAGTTAAATTGTGTTATTGACTATAATAATCTCTTCATCATATGCCAGTGTGCTTATAATAAAACAACTGTTCTAGAAGTCTTGGGGGAAAACAAGACTGTTGAGGGCTATGTGTGGTAGATCATACTTCTAACCCTAGCACTTGGGAGGCTGAGGCAGGAGGTCTGCCATGAGTATAAGGCCAGCCTGGACTACATTTAACACGTCTGCTGACCCCTTGAATTTTTCTTAGTTTGAAGGCATGCACAAGAATGATGCAATAAGCCAGCAGATTCACATTCTGCAAAAAGAAGTGAGGCAGTTCCAAGCAGAAGCTGCTCAGCCCCCAGCACTTAACGTTGTAGAAGCTGCGGTGCATGCAGAAAACCTGATCACGTAAGTTCTGAGACCTCTCATTTCAAATTGGCTTTGCTGTGGATAGTAATCATCCATAGGACTTCCCCTCTTCTCCCCATCCCAGTCATTGAGTATGCAAATCAGGAGACTAGAGCCTTTGGGTCCAATCTCAGTAGCCATGTTTTTATAAATGGTTTTATTGGAACCTAGCCATCTCTGTTACTTGTAGTGACTATGACTTACAAGCCACAAACAAAGTATTTCCCATCTGGCTGGCAACCCTTGAACTGTAAGATGACACCATATCATGGCAAGCCACTGCTGATCCCTTCAGCAAGCTGGGATGAAATGTGAAGGGCATTGAATCCTCCTGTGCGTGGGGCTTGGAAGGTTAGATCAGTTTAGCCATGGGCTGGTGTGTTTGTCACGGGGAAGGTACTAGAAGAAGTGAACACTAGGAGAAAATCTTAGGGAAATTATAGATGTATTTGTTTTATGTGTGTTAGAGTTTTTCCTGCATATATATACTTGTGCCACTTGTGTGCCTGGTGTATTTTGAATTTTAAAATGTAAAGAGATCACATTCTTGTGTTTAAAAATGTAAGGAATACAAAAATCAAGTAACTCTGAATTACATATAATATATGAAAATCTTTGATAAGTGCCAGGATGTTAATTGGTCCTCATAGTATAGAAACAACTGACTTTTATTCTCCAGAGGGATGTATAAAATCATTACTGTGTACCAAAAGGGAATTTTTGGGTAATTAATAGATGCACATTTACCACATGTAGTATTTTAAAGTGTTATTTGCATAGGGTTCTGAAGACTCTTACAAATGTTGCCTGAGGAGTGAGGAAAGCACAGAGATATTTGAGAATATGGATTATTCATTGTAGACAAATCCTGTGCTCGGATTTTCCCACAGGGCCTTAGTGAATTCGTATAAGTTGCAGCCGACGCCTGGGGCGCAGAAAATTGGCATCAGCCTCTTCTTTACTGTTGTGGACTATGTCAGCGATGAGACCCAGCGCCACCCTCCTACGAGGCAGTTCTTCACTTCATGCATTGAGATCTTGGGACAGGTAGGAGCATTCCCAGCTGTCAGCCACTCACAGACACACTTGAATCCCTAGGGATCTTGACTAAACACAGCCAGAAGCCTGTGGAGAATTGTGGGCTTCCCATGATGCTGGCAGAATTTTGGTATAGAAATGTTGCTTCTTTTGCAAGAGAGGTTAAATTATTCACATCTGAAAGGCTAGGGAGACATCAGATTTTGGCATAGGTTGTTGGTATCACTAACAATAGCATTGCTGAAATTCCTTTAACATTTGCAAAATAAAGTTTCTAATTAATTTTTAAAGTTTGTCCTCACACTGACTCAGTATAGTTGATACCATTCCTGTCTTGAAAATGATCAGTCAGAGTGAATTCTAGTGGCATAACCTGTAATCTCAGTTACTTAGGATCCCAAGATCAAGAGCTGTCTATGCTGCAGAACAAGTTCAAGGCCAACCTGGGCAACTTAGCAGGATCTTGTCTCAAAAAGTTAAACAAACAAAAGGCAAAAAAGTAGAGCTCATAGCATGAGAGACCTTAAGTTCAATCCCCAATATTGCTATAAATTTTTTTTTAAAAAAGAAGCAACTGGCCTTTGAAAGGTAAAGCAACTTCCCTAAAGAATGCACCTGTGAGTGTTAGGTTCAGTGCTGCTCTCCCCAGCTGTGGCTGTGGTTTGTTTTAACAGTGCAAAAGCAAAGGATCCATGCAGGGGAGGAAGAGAGGCAGAGGGAACTGGGATTGACATGTAAAATAATCTTGTTTCAATTTAAATAAAAAATGGAGAGAAAAAAAATTAAAAAAAAACGTGATGACAAAAAAAATAAAGTTAATTGCATACAGTTGCTGGGGGGGGGGATTATAGCCATACTACTATTATCCCCAGGTGTTTAGAATCTTGAGGCCATTACTGTTTTTGTTGTTGTTGTTTTCTATACTGTATGGCACTTATTACCTTTATGATGAGAAGAAAAGCTCTTAGAAGAAACCAGATTATCAGCTGGTGACATAGCTCAGTGGTGGAGCACCTACCTGGCATAGACAAGGCCCTGAATTAAAACCCCAGAAAAACAACAACAATAAGCTCTTGTTTCTGGCTGGCATCCCCATTTATGGGTAGCCAAGCAATCAATTAAATTTGGATGCAAATATGTGGCTATGGTTGACATTTTCAAACAGGTGGGTTTCCTTTATGACACATCCACAAACCTGCTCTCTGCATTCAGAGTGCTTTCAAATTATGTGTCTGTTAATATGTTTATTGGCGGTGTGTGTGTGTGTGTGTGTCTGTGTCTGTCTGTCTGTCTGTCTGTCTGTCTGTGTGAGAGAGTGTATGTATGTATGTGTATGTATCTGTGTGTTTGTCTGTGAGAGAGTATGGGTGAGTGTGTGTATGTGTGTGTTGCTGAATATTTTTCTTTGTACATGTTTTGGGTTTTGTTTGATTGAAAGAGTTCTTTGGATGGTTACTAACCTAGTAGTTAGAGAGCAATGTAAGTATATTTTTCTAATTTTTTTTTTTACACTTTATGATTTTTTTATATGTCACTGAAGTTGAAATTTTAATGTATTCATACCCGTGAGCCTTGCTTATTATTTTTGTTGTGATCATCCTTAGAAAAGCCTTCCTGACCCTGAGACTGCTTAGGGAATCACTTAGACTCTTGTGCATTTTAGCCTTTGAACCACATTAATTAATCATTATTATCATCATTATTATTTGAGACAGGGTCTCACTGTGTAGCCCTGGCTGTCCTGGAACTCACTGTGGTGACCAGGCTGGTCTCAAACTCACAGAGTTCCACCTGCCTCTGCCTCCCTAGTGATAGGATTAAAGGTGCATGATTTTGGATATTTTCTGATTTTATATTTGCATTTACAAAAACTTACTTTACCTTAATTTAGTACCCTTGAAGACTGACTGTGTAAGAGAAGCAGAAGGGGAGTTGAGTGACAGTCCTCTTTTATTTTGCCCAGGTGTTTATCAGTGGCACTAAGTCAGAATGCAGAAAGGTGCTGCAGACCATCTTGAAAAACAGGCGTCTCTGCTCCCTGCTCTCTCCTTTCTTCACTCCCAATGCTGCGCCGGCTGAGTTCATCCAGCTCTATGAGAAAGTGGTGAAGTTTCTCAGTGAGGACAACAGTGACATGATTTTCATGCTGCTCACCAAGGTACTAATGATTCCACCTGCGAAAAATCAGAAATGACCATCGCTTCCCATGCCAAGAGGCCCTTTACACATTACATTATCTTCGGGTAGCCTGACTTTCTAGCCTCCCGTCTGTGGGCTGGGCATTGGCTGTGCTGTATAGACAGTCTTACTCCACAGTGGAAGTCTCCAAAGCACAGCACCCTGAGCTTTGCTTTTGCTTTGATATGCTTCCGAGACAGGTTTCTCTGTAGCTTTGGAGGCTGTCCTAGAACTTGCTCTGTAGACCAGGATGTCCTCCAACTCACAGAGATCCACCTGTCTCTTCCTCCAGAGTGCTGGGATTAAAGGCATGCACCACCACTGCCCAGCCCAAGCTTTCTTCAAAAACTTAGTACAGTCATGAGATATTCCTAAGAGGAGTTTAATAATCCTTGTAAATGTATCTTGAGTTTGTTCCTACATTGTTGATTTGTGAGTTATTGTAAATTGGACTCATATTTTGAATAAGCCTGGTTTGTCTTCATCTGCATAGAAGACTGTCAGAGGAAGGCAATGCCTTAACTGGTGGAGAATGTCAGCACCTGTGACATTATAAAACAAAGGGAGCCTGGCATTTTTTTGGGCAAAGAGACTGAGCCCAGTCTATAATATAGGTGAATATATTTTATGATATGGAATGTTGAAAGATTCCAGCAGTCTGAATTTTACAAACTTAGGTAGGTAACTAATGCCACTAAAAAATGGCTGTTAAATAAGCTGCATAAAGTGGCTGCTTGCTTCTGATACTAACAAATGAAGGACAGCTTTGAAACTCTGATGAGGCCTCAGAGAGGAAACTTATTATAAAAAAGCAGACATGTATGGCATTTTCAGAAATAGAACAGAATTGTAAACCAGTAGTGAATGGTTAGTCAGTGAGTTGTTTTTTTGTTTGTTTTTGTATTTTTGCGATGCTAGGTATCAAACCTAGGGCTGTGAACATTCAAGGTGAGTGTTCTGCTTCTGACCACATCCTTACCCAATCTCAAGTAAGATTTTATATTTCAAAAGAATGCTGTTGACCTGAGGACATGATAGAGATGGCAGTGGCATCATGGTGCCCATTGGTCACACTCACTCATGTGTTTGTGTGTACATTTCAGTGTCTGTGTTTGTGGACAGGTAACTTTAAGCTTGTCTTTGGATTTTAAATTTGCACAGACCTCTCTGCTTCATCTAATTATCTAATGTAAATAAAACTGCTTCTTGTTTCTGTTTCTTTTTTAGTTCGATGTTAAACAATGGTTAATGGCCACTAAACCTCCTCTGTCTGATCGCACCAGGCTTCTGGAGTCCATTCACTTGGCACTTACTGCCTGGGGCCTTGAACCAGATGAAGATATTTTGATGCCATTTAATCTTTTCTGTAAGCACTGGACTCACCTTCTACTCTACCAGTTCCCTGACCAGTACAATGACGTTCTCAGGCTGCTGGTACAAAGTAAGTGTCTTCATTTGGTTATGATTGATAAGATCTCAGTGAGTATTTGATAGCACATTTACCACTAAAAATGTTAAGATGAGACTAGAGAAATGGCTCAGCAGGGAAAGTCCTTGCCACCCAAGCCAATGACCAGAGTTAGGTTCCTAGACACCATGGTGAAAGGAGGGAACCAACTCCCCAAGATTATCCTCTAATCTCCACATTGTTTGCTGCGCTATGTGTGCATCTGCATTCACACTCATCTCACACACACACACACACACACACACACACACACACACACACGCATACACGCTAATAAAATTTCTCAGTCACAGTGTCTTCTGTGGAGCTCACTCCCATCCCAGTTAGTCACTTATTCTTGTCTCTTTCCTTTAGTCTCCTAATACCACGCATCCCTACAAATCTGGATTGTCATCATCATCACTGATTGTAAAGTACACATGTTCTGTGATTCAGGTTGAAAAAGTGGTTTGGGGAACACACAGACCTTCTGTCTCTGTCCTTTCTGTAGGCTCTGCAGAGCAGCTGCTGAGTCCTGAGTGCTGGAAAGCCACTTTGAGAGCCCTGGGATGCTGTACCCCAAGCAGCCAGCAGGGGGCAGCTTCTGCGGACAACGCTGTGCTTCATAGTGCCTCAGATGCTCTCTTGTCAGACAAGCAGGTGTGTAGCTTTTGGTCTCTGACAGCTTTGCATATTTTTTTCCATTTCCCTTGCTGTGCATTGTCAAACAATTGGAGCACATTTAAAAGCTGGGTTTGTGTGTGTGTGTGTGTGTGTGTGTGTGTGTGTACATGTGCGTTTCTGTAAGATTTCCATGTCTTTCTTTGACTTTTGCTTTCTCTGCCTCCTTTGCCTGAACTGCTTTTCTCTTATGCTCCTGAATGTAGTCCCATCCCTATGAGACACAACGGAAGCCAGCATCCCTCTATATAAACCTCCCTCCCACCTAAGTACATCTGATTTATTCCTCAGACTGCTCCATGGGTCTCCATGGTATGGCCCACAGAGCCTCCACCTTTATCTGTGGTGGTTTCGCATAAGAACCTAGCTGAAGGTCAGTGTGGTGTCACCCACCTGCAGTTGTAGCATTCAGGAGCCTCAAGCTAAAGTACTTTGAGTTTGAGACCATTTTGGCCTATATGAGACCTTATCACCAAAAACAAGCAAACAAAAAACAACTTCAAAAATAAGGCAAAAGGGACAATGTGTTTGATATAAAGATTCCATTGCATTAAAGTTTTAAACCTAATTTTTTTCTGTCTTATTGTAGTTCTTCCAAAAATCTGTATTCCCATCACAAACTTTCATAGCACTGTTTTATAAATAAAGAAAGGGCTTGAAGGCATGGCTCAGTGGTGGACTGTGTTCCTAGTATTCATGAGGCCCCTAGGTTTTATCTCCAGCAACTGAAAAGACGAAGGGGACTGGGGAAGATGCTGCCCCAAAGTAGACGTTCAGTGAGCAGTGCTTGGTTGGTCATCTCTTCTAGGTAATGGAGACCATCCATTGGCTTTCTGACTTCTTTTATAAGCTTCGACTGTCCAAGATGGACTTCAAAAGCTTTGGATTATTCTCAAAATGGAGCCCTTACATGGGTGATGTGAAGACATTTTTGGAATACCTTGTGAAAAGGCTGATTGACTTAGAAATCGCCTCCTTGACCCAAGACTCAACTGCCAGCAGCAAAGAAGGTATGTGCTTTTAGTGTGGTGGGAGCTAAGGGCTGTGCTTTCCATAGAAGAAATTCAAGTAGACACATGAAGATCCATCTCAAATGTCAAGACGGAATAGAAAAATGTGGTACAGGTGTGAGCCTGTATAATCATCATATCTATATGATTTCACAGCAGATATAGGATGTTTGCTGTAGCTTGTTTATGCCCCTCCTTGGTGGTAGTATGGTACAAAGAGGTGTATTTCTCTGTCCAACTCCTTCTTTCTGTCATTTTCCAAGGTTAGGACAATGTTCAGAATATGAAGCTTATATCTTAGAAAAATGTACATTATATATATTACCTATCTCATTGTGTTATAATAAAAATTAAACTCAATTCATTGTAGCAAATGAAAAGGGAAGCCTGCATAGTTATACTAACCATACTATTTCTGTGTCAGCAAAGACTTATACAGTGAGGAACAGTAGATTTCGTAGGAAATGTAGCCAATGGCTAGAGTGAGATCCTTCACTGTTTCTAACAATTGTGCTGTTTCAGTATTAAGGTCCCTGCACTCACAGATTGTCCAGCTTTTTAAGCCCTGGATCCTGGTTTTAGAAGACAGTGAAAGGTAAATAGTATTTCATATACTCAGAATTTCTTGGAATTTATTTACTTAATGATATTTAGTACAGGTCATGATGATTTCACAGATTTAATATTTAATCTGGTAACATTTAAATTGATAAAATACAAAAGCCAAGACATTTTTTGTTCATATAATTATTCATCTGCGTGGTCAGTGATGTTATCTTGATACTAATTTTGGAACAAAGTGAACCACTAATTTCTAATTTTCCACAATAAGAAAGTTGAATTTTTTGCATACTTAAGAAAAAATGTTTTCTTTTTCATAAAGTATGTCTATAAATATGGGCCTCAGCATTTTCTACTAAGTCAGCTATTTTTAGAATTAACTTGTAGATCAGATTATTGGGTTGGGAATGCCCCATTAATCATGTAACTCAGAAGTTAAATGAAAACATTGTTTCATGAGCATTTAGACTATGTGACAACATAGAGTCATACAAGTGCTATGAATTGTTCTATGGGTAGCTTTTCTGTGAAAGTATGCAAATAAACTAGACGAACCTAAATGCTGGCATAAGGAGAAGAAGGCAAAATCAGTGTTAATGGTTGATGTTACATGCTGACATTTGCTTTCAGGAGCTCCCAGCTCTGAAGTGCTGAGTGTGCTTCAGGCTACAGTGGCAGTTTTCTGACTGGCCAGTCCTAGATGCAACTCTGTCATGTGTGCTTTCCTTTCTAAGCATGTGTTTCTTTCCTGTGAAGTAGCCAACAGCGACATTACCCCTGGCTAGAGAGTGATGCTGTGGTGGCCTCCAGCATCGTGCAGCTCTTCACTGACTGCATCAGCTCCCTGCACAGGAGTTTTAAAGGTAGGGAGGTGTCATGTGATGCCTGGTTGAGCCTTCCCTTTGGCCTCTCCATCTTCCTTTCCTTGAGCTTTCCTCTTCACTTTAACTGGAAGACAAAGAAGCTGACAGGAGAATGGCTGCTGGGATGGTTACTTATGGAATGTCTTATGAGGCTGCTCTGAGTTGTGTAGTTACAGCCCGTTTAGTATTGCCTACTCTAGGCTCCTGAGGAGCTTTCTTGCTGTTTTCCATAACATCAGAGCTAATTTATATCCCAACTCCAGTAAGATATACGAGTTTCTCTTTCCTTGCGTTCTTCCACTTACCTTCCATGATTTTATTCTTTGTGTATGTGTGTGTGCCCACATGTTCACACCTTCATGTAGATATGTGGAGATCTGTGTTGAGTTATTTGCCTGTCATTCTCCACCTTACATTTTATTTCATGACAGGGTCTGTTACTGAACCTCTCTGTTTTGGTTTGACTGGCTGGCTAGCAAGCTCCACAGACCTGCCTGGGGCTGCAGGCACACACTGCCCACACCTGCTATTTATGTGGCTGCTGTGCATTTCAATTCAGGCCCTCATGCTTGCACTTTACTTACTGAGCCATCCTCTCAGCTCTCCCATCTTTTTAATAAAAGGAATCCTAGGAACGAGAGTGATGGCTCAGCAGTTAACACTGGTGGCTTTTCCAGAGGACCGGGGTTCAATCTCCAGCACTCCCATGATGGCTCACAACCATCTGTTGAGTCTAGTTCCAAGGGATCCAACACCCTCTTCTGACTTTTGTGGCTACTACATGTGTGTGGTTCATAGACACACTTGCTGGCAAAACATCCATCTACATAAAATAAAAAAATAAATTAAAAAGCCAGTGTAAAGTGATACTTTGTCATGATTTTCATTTTTCTCTACGTGTGTGTGTGTGTGTGTGTGTGTGTGTGTGTGTGTGTGTGTGTGTGTGAGTTTTTTGG